AAATTGAAACTGGAAAAGGGGCTAATCAAATTGGTACTTTAAAGCGTGCTGGAGACACTTGTTGGAGCTCACATTTTACTTCTATTAGCAGTCTTCTTCGGATGTACAATCCAACTTGTACAGTTTTGGAGAACATAAAAAAAGCGGGCTCCAACTACAAAACAAGAGGTGATGGTAGTACTGCATTGAAACGAATGACATCTTTTGAGTTTGTTTTCGTTTTATATATGATGAAACAAATTTTGGGAATTATTGATGTTCTTTGTCAAGCTTTACAACAAAAGTCTCAAGATATCATGAGTGCAATGACGATGGTTTCCTATACAAAGAAACTGATTGAAACCCTTAGAGATGATGAATGGGGGTCTTTTCTCGATGATGTCATGGAATTTTGTAAGAAGCATGATATTAGTATTCCTGAATTCAAAGATCCTTATTTTGAAGGAAGAAGCAACAGAAAGAGAGGTCTTATTACTACCGAGCATCACTATCATTTTGATATATTTAATGAAGCAATTGATTTTCAGTTACAGGAAATTGACTCGAGGTTCAATGAAAGAGTTGTAAAGCTTTTAGAACTTAGTGCTGCTTTGGATCCAAAAAAGGGATACAAACACTTCAATTCTGATTCTATTTGCAAACTTGCAAGAAAATATTATTATCTTGATTTCACTGACCAAGAAATAGATATTTTAAAATTCCAGTTGAAGCACTTTGAAGCTTATGTAAAGGATCATTTATTTTTGGGAAAGCTATCATCTATTGCTGAAGTTTGTCAAGGTTTGGCAGAGACAGGAAAAACAAGTCACTACTATCTTGTTGACAGATCGATTCGCCTTGTGTTGACCTTTCCAGTGTCTACTGCAACTACTGAGCGTGCATTTTCTGCTATGAAAATTGTAAAGAATAGACTACGTAATAAAATGGATGATGATTTTATTGCTGATAGTCTGGTTCTTTACATAGAGAAAGATATCACTAAGTTTTTCAGTTTAGATTCTATTTTAGATGATTTTAATGATGTAAGAGAGCATCGTGTGCAACTTAAATGAATAATTTACTTTAGAATGCATACATTGTTATATTTTGTTATCATTTGAATTTTTTTTCTACTCATTCAGAATTTTATAAATTGTTTGGCCTACCCTAAACCAAAATTCTGGCTACGCCACTGCTACACAATATTTTATAGTAAATTCACTTTTAACGATTTCCAGTGCCGTGTCGGTTTTGCCGTAAACTTCGACGGATCATAACTTGTTTGTTATAATTTTCAGAGTTCTTTATATGTACGAAACCCTTGTGACATATACTATAACTTGGTCAAGATTATTTATTTTAAATAATCTTATATAAAAAAAATTATTTTTAACGCTTATTATCTCTAAATTGACTAACCCGAATTTGTGGTTGTTACACCTTACAAACGTTGTGACTCCTTACAAACGTTGTGACTCGCCAAAGCTCGGAAAAACTTGAGGCTTGACGTTACCGCTAAGTCACTCCTTACTTACGTTATAGAGCTTTGATTAAACATGTTATAACCTAAATCAAAGTCTTACCAAAACTAAGTCATGTACTTATTTATTTGGGTTGAACTTCGGGTCATCCGATTAGGACATTTCTTGAGCAAGCATGGTAGGACATTGGTTGGTACTTTATAGCCGGTAGTACTCGGTACATTTTCTCTATTCGTTGATGTTCAATCGAACCTTTCTGTTAGCATATGCTGTTCTCCATTCTCATCCTAGATTCAATCCTCTCCCATTTCGTCAATCTGTTCAATAACCCGAAATTAGGGTTTATTTCTGTATTCTAATTTGAAATCAATGGCTTGTTGTTCGATTCAATCCATTGTTCCTTCGGTTTCTGCTTTATCATCTTACTCCCTGTCTTATTCTTCTGTAATTGTTTTGCCTGTAAATTATGCCAAGTTCCCCAATAGAAATCTCACAAGAAATCGTAAGAAATTTGAAGTTTGCAGAGCAATGGTGCAGCAGACCACGGTTCAGGGAGCTTCTGCTACTTACGCTAAGGAAATGGAGAGACTCTCTGCCAAAGAATCGTTACTCCTCGCTGTCAGTTTTCAGCAACCTTCTTCTATTGGTTTATTTAATTTCGAGAATTGGACCTGATAAATGTATGGTTCAAATGCTTGATTTTTACAATTTTCATGATTTTTTTGGTGTTTATCGTCCCTAGATAAAGCTAGTTGGTTTGATTTTGCCTTGATAAGTAGAGTTACTATCTAATTGAGTTATGCATAATTGTGAAGATCACTTATCTGGTACTAAGAGCAAATCTAGTTGAGTTCTCATCAAAATCGTACACTATCATAATAACAAGTAGTTAATTCTCTTTTATCTCCATCTATCTCCCAACTGCAGAATATATGCTTTTTCATCCTCACTGTTTGTGTTATTTAAGAGCTTTCTCCTGAAAAAGCTCTTTGTATCCTCCACAATAAGAGAGCTTTTTCCATTTGATTACCAATGTTTTGTTTCTCTAATTAGCAATCGTCTTGAAAAAGCTCCTCCAATAGCTTTTTGGCTTGAAAAAGCTCCCATTGTTGGATGCTCTAGAATCGAACTTGATTGATTAAAATAGATAACAGTAGTGGATAACAATATCATAAAAACCCTAGCAAACACTTGGATTGAAGCTTTGTTTCTACAAATATTTGAACTTTCTATTCTAGTTCAAAGATGCTGGAGGATTTGAGGCATTAATTGGTGGAAAGACATCAGATATGCAAAAAATCGATGTGAATGAGAGAATTGTTGGCCTTGAACGCCTTAATCCAACACCACGTCCAACAACGTAATCATAATTACTTTTAATAAACATTTATTACCTTCAAAAATCATCCAATTTTTATAAATTACCTCTTTGTTATCAGGTCACCATTTTTTGAAGGCAGATGGAACTTTGAATGGATTGGATATGGAAGCCCTGGATTATTTGCTGCCAGATTATTATCCGAGTAAGTGTTTATTAATTATCAACTAACTCTAATTATGTTTCTATATTCTTAAGTTATTATTATTATTATTATTTTTCATTATATATGTAATGTAGGAGATTTCCTACATCAATAGCAAATATGAGTAAGATGGATGTGGTGATTAAGGATGGATATGCAAAGATTACTGCAAACATGAAATTTCTGAATGCGGTAACAAAATATATTATTGTAAATTGTTATCCTATATTATATGTTATATATAATATATAATATATGATTTATGAATATGAATATGCACTGCAGATAGAAAACAAGTTTATTATAAGCACAAAGTTAACAGTTGAAGGGCCACTTAGAATAAAAGAAGAATATATAGAAGGAGTCCTTGAAACTCCAACAGTTGATGAAGGGACAATTCCAGAACAACTAAAAGGGGCTTTAACTCAAGCACTTAACACCATGAAACAACTTCCATCTCCAATTAAAGATGCTGTTTCTGGTGGATTAAGACTTCCCCTAAGTCAGTTTTCTTTCTTTTTCTTTTTATAAGTCTGAATGTGTTGTTGTCTTATTGAATGAATGAATGACTGATTCAGATGGGGCTTTTCAGAGGATGTTTATGATTTCTTATCTTGATGAAGAGATTCTAGTAAGTTGTTTGCATGTATATACTTGCAATGTAATTATTATTACATTTGAAAGATTTTTATAATGGAGTTTGTGTTTGTTCAGATATTAAGAGACACAAGTGGGGTCCCGGAAGTTCTTACGAGATTGGATGTGGATCAATCTCCTATTGATCCTATTCAAGAGTACGAGAGTTGACCGAGTCAACATAAATAATGCAAGGATGAAGGATAATGATGATTTACATATGTGGTATTGTAAACCAAATATTACTATTAGGTCATAAACTTTTTATGTTTAACAAAATGTATGTACAAGTCGTTGAGATGGAAATTTGTGCAAATGGATATAAACTTGGTTGAAATTTACTTTTTTTTCTTGTAAAAATAGCTTAAACTGCAACAAGTAATCACTAAATAAAAAGTTAGTACTTAATATGTGGCATGGTGATATACTTGATAGATTCGAATCTAATGAATCTTGTTGCTCATGAAAATTAGATACCATGATGCTTTAAGATAGGCATTATAATTTGACACATATTTGATTAAATTTATCATATAAATTACTTTTCCAACTCTATATTTGTCGTATCAATGTAAAATGTAAATCAATAATTGCATTTGTTAAATTAAATAAGAAACAGTAGAATATGCTTGATATGGTGTGGGGATTTATATAAATGTGAACAAAAAACAACACCAAACTATTAGGAACTAGAAATGTCCGTTGAATTTCATAGATAATACATAAATCAATTTGCTAGACAACCTTATCATCCAAGATGAATTAAAGATGATATAGTGAAAAGTTATGTTTTTTAATATATAATTTCGTCTTGTTACAAACATAAATTTTAACAAGCAAAAAGTAAAAAAAAAAAAAAACAAAGAAAAACAAATACACTCATATTATAGAAACACATCTATACATATATCACTAGCTATAATTGGTTCAAAATAAATAAATAAAAAGTACACATCAAGGTTATTCCATGATTTAACTATGAGTTAAAAGATAAATCAAATAATATTCAAAGTTTATACTCTCATGAAAATTACTTTACTATATTTCGGACCCAAGTCAAGCCAATATAATAATCTCTTGTTTTCCCTCTTGCACATCGTGGATTATCAACGGAGTAAATTGATACCACTAACGTCGTCATATTTCAAGGGGGTTAGCTTCGATTATTGCCACGTGTTAGACTGTCAGGTCATAAGGTACGTGTCAGTTTAGAGCTCCCACGTGTCAAACGCATGTTCGTCACTTCATCTCCATCGTCGAACCCTCCTCATATATTGTACACGTACTGCATTCCTCATTCCTCAATCAACCATTTACACAGAAAGAAACCAAGTAAACCTGAAGGAAGATTAAAATTACGTTCAGATAACAGATGCAGGCCATGAAGGAAACGGCGGCGAACATCGCCGCGTCGGCGCTGTCAGGAATGGAGAAGACAAAGGCGGTGTTAGAAGAGAAGGTTGAGAAGATAAGTACGAGTGATCCAATCGAAAAAGACATGGCTACGTTACGGAAAGAAGACAGGATCAGGCTGGCTGAGCTCCGGAAACAAGAGGCTTTTTCCCAAAACGCCGCCGCCGCTAGTGGTGGTCCTAATAGTCCCACGTTCACTGCAGCTGGTCACGTTAACACTGAAAAGAACCCTTTTCAGAAACCAACTGGTGGAGTTAAAAACACAGATAAACCGGTGGCGGTGCAGCAGAGCCACGGTGCAACCCTAGAAAAAGCAACGCCAGCGGTGCAACCTGCAATGTCGACCTAGATCTAGTCTGGCTGACCTCGCTCCTTCATTGATAGAAGGATCAAGATTCAAGAGTGTTGGATACAGAACTTTTTCAAATGGTGATTTTGGTCTTTAATTTGTTTTTTGTTTCTGAAAACTAGCTGCTCTCTTCATTATAAATCAAGTTTTATTTATTTATTTATTTATTATTATTATTATTTTTTATTTTTATTTTTTATAAACCAATTCTTAATTATAATATATATGAATGGGTTCTATGCACGTATGGATATGTAAAGAAAAACAAGATGTGTTGTTGTTACAAGTGTAATTAATTATCGGTTAAAAGGACAGACATGTAAGCTTATGGCCTTAGGGTGGATTGGAAACTACCTATAATAAAAATGAACCTTTGATTTATATTGAGCTCAGTAAAAGGTTGTCTCTTGCATAAAATATCTTATGTGTGACATGATTGTTATTATCACTTAGAGGACCAAATATGTTGCTATTAATGGTAATGAAATGAAAGTATATATTGCTATTATAGGTAATGAAATAAAAGTACACTGTTATTATGGGCAGGTAAATTCTTTATGATTACCATATTATTCTCTTATTCTTAACATTTAAAAGTGTGAAAATGAGATCGAATAAGAAGATGTTATATAATGAATTTTAGTCTGCAAGAGGGAAATTTGTGTTTTGTTCTTAGGTCTAGCAGTTATATATTGATGAATTCTTTGCCTTCATTTGCCGCCTGTGACTTTATGTTGGACTTTTTTTTTTTTTTTGCTCCCTAATGCATTTTCATTTTCCTGATCATGAATACATCTGGGAGTTTGGTTTGCTTTTCTATTAAACTAGATTATAATCCGCGTTAAACTCGGAAAATACATTAAAAAAACATATAATCGTCTACAGATATTGCATAATGATTATAAAAAAATATATGGTTATTGGTGTTATTGAAATGTGTAGAAAATACATTGAAAACGATAAATATCTATAATCATTGAAAGACAAAGAGACAATATTTTTTGTTCTATTAGTTGAACGAATTTCATTATCTTATATAGTTATGATATTGTTATATAATTATAAGCATTTTAATTAGATGTTCATTGACCACCAATATATCATTTTTTTTCACTGTATTAAATATTGACAACTATTTTATTTATTCAAATAGAGTTATATAATATAATTTATAGAATGTTAAATGTTATATGGATTTAATTCTAATATATCATTAATGAAGATTCTTTTCTAAATCATGATTGGTATATCAGCAATAGGTTTATCCAGCGAAGGAGTTAGTTTGGTTTCGAATGCCATTGGAACTTTCGCCTTTGAGTCTCCCACCATTCCAAACTTAGAAAGTAGGGTCTTTGTGTAAACCTCCTGATTGATGATAATTCCTTCCGGTCCCTGTCTTATGTTTAATCCAAGAAAGAAGTTATTAGGACCCATTGAGATCATCTCAAACTTAGTTTCCATTAGTTTTCGGAACTCAGTTGTTAGGCTGGGATTAGTAGATCCGAAGATGATATCATCAACATAAATTTGTACGATCATCAAGTGGTCACCCTCTTTCTTGCGAAAGAGTGTTGGGTCAACCGAACCTTGCTTGAATTTGGACATTTTAAAGAAAACAAGTTAGTGTTTCATACCAAGCTCTTGGAGCTTGTTTTAGACCATAAACTCCTTTGTCAAGAATGTAACAGTGGTTGGGATATTTTTCGTTTACAAAACTAGGTGGTTGCTCCACATAGACAATCTTTTCCAGTTTGTCATTTAAGAATGCATACTTCACATTCATTTGAAAAACTTCAAAAATTTCGTGAGCTGCATATGCCAAGAAGATGCGAACGGATTCTAGCCTTGTAACGGGTGCGAATGTCTCTTCGTAGTCAATTCCTTCTTCTTGGCAGTAACCTTTGACTACAAGCCTAACTTTGTTTCTGATGACATTCCCTTATTTATCCATTTTATTTCGAAACACCCATTTTAAACCAACAATCGATGCCTCTGGAGGTGTTGAAATTAGCCTCCAGACTTTGTTTCGTTCAAACTCATTGAGTTCATCTTGCATCGCTTGCACCCGATCAGAATAATCGAGAGCAGTGTTGACGGTTTTGGGTTCAATATTGGACACAAATGAATTAAACATACAAAATTCAACTTTGGAGAATAATGCAGTTCGCTTCACTTTTAGTTGAGAACGGGTAAGGACACCTACAGAGGATTCACCAATAACTTGAGCTTTTGGGTGATCTCTTGTCCATTTGGTCATGGGAGGATAATTTGGATCTAAGGATGGATTTAGCTCAACGTTTACTTCCTCGAATTCAGATAGAACTGATTGAGTGTCCGAATCATCATTCGCTTCTTTATTCTCCCCCTCGAATGATGCAAACTTGTTGATCTCAGGAATTGAATCATTCCATGCGAATGGAGATTCATGGGTCATAGTTGGTGGCAAAAAATCACCATCAGAAGAATGCTCAGTAGAAAATGGTGATGCGAAACTCTCCCCCTGTAAAAAAACATTTGTGGTTAGAGGTGTAGCATCCTCCCCCTGGAATTGTGTGTTAGACTTAGAATTCTCCCCTGGAAAGTAGAACACGTGTCTTGAGATTCTTTCACAGTGGATGGCTATTGAGGTATGTCTTTAGCTGTATCATCAATAATCTCCTTAAGTTCGTCAACTTTATTATCCGCTACTTTAGCTTCAGATGTGATAGCTTTCTCAGGTTCATCAAAGAGTAACATGAACTCTTCATAACGGTTGGACACATGAATTACAGATGGATAAGGTTTACGAAAGATTTCCTTGATCCGACTTTCGTTCAACTGAATTTGCTTTAGATAACTGTCGTCAAACGTGACATAATAGGTCTGTTTTATCTTCTTTGAGCGTTTGTTGAGAACCCTATATGCCTTGGATGTAAGTGAATATCCCAAGAATATACCTTCATCAGCTTTCACATCGAACTTGTTCCGCTGTTCTTTGGAATTGAAGATAAAACACCTGTATCCAAAAACGTGGAAAAAGTTAATGTTAGGTTTGCAATTATTTATGATTTCATAAGGAGTTATTGAGAATCGCTTGTTTAGGATAAATCTATTTTGGGTAATCGCATCAGCCTAGAAGTAGAGAGGCAGACATGCGAACGTTATCATGGTTCATGCAACTTCACATAAGGAACCGTTTCGTCTTTTAACTACACCATTCTGTTATGGAGTGTAGGGAGCAGAAAAGTTGTGTGTGACTCCCTTTTCAGCAAGAAATTCTTCAAACGTTTGGTATTTGAATTCTAGCCCGTTGTTGCTGTGAACGTTGCGAACCAGCTTTGGCAGTTGAAGCTTGATTTGCTTGATAAAGTCCTTGAGCTTTGGCGTTGCTTCAGATTTCTGCTTAAGAGAGAACACCCAAGTGAAACGTGAAAAATCATCTACAATTACTAGAATGTACTTACTACCACCAACGCTTTCAATAGCAAAAGACCCACAAAGGTCGATGTGTAGAAGTTCCAAAGGTTTGACGACTTTCGTGTTCAGAATAGCAGGATGACTTTTTCTACTTTGCTTTCCCATCTCGCAGGCTGCACACAAATGATCCTTGTCGAATTTCAGTAGAGGAAGTCCTCACACATGATCACTAAGAACAAGCTTGTTGATGTCTTTGAAATTTAAGTGCGAAAGACACCTATACCATAACCAGCTCTCGTTTGAGTGAGCTTTTTGAAGCAGGCAAATGGCAAGCTTCCCTTGTATCGGGTTTAGATTCAGTGGATACATTTCACCCTTTCGTTGTGATTTTAGAAGAACAATCTCGGATTTCTTTTCAACGATTTCTAATCCTTCATCATTAAATGACACTTTCAATCCGGTTCTTACCACCAACTGCGAGACACTGATTAGGTTGTGTTGCAAGCCTTCAACATAAGCCACTTTATGAATAGAAAATTCCCCATTTTTTATCATGCCATAGCCTTTATTTTGCTAAAAGAATTATTCTCATATTTTACGCTTCCGCCATCCTTGAGATCCCTGAACTCTCGTAGTTCCTCCCTTTTTCATGTCATGTGACATGAATAGCCACTGTCGATATACCATTCAATGTCGAACTGTTCATCACCAAAGTTTCTTGGGTCCTTGTGAGCCTTTCACAGAACAAGGAAAAGTAATATCAAGATTAACCAAATATGTTCGTTTTATAAGATTGGTTTCATCTTTTCGTTTGATGGTGAAAACTTCGATTTTGTTAACTTTTGAGTTAGCTTCTTTAGAATCAGAGGTTTTATTCTTATTGTCAGCTTGATTCTTGAAGTACTTCTTTTCAGCTTCCTTAGGATAAGCATTTGGTTTCTTAGTTGGAGTTTTCGGCTTTGAGGAAAGCTTTCCCTTTCCTTTAACATTATGAGTCGTTAGCTTCGTGGATTGAGAGTGATCAGGCTTTGGTCTCTCCTTTTGTTGCTTTGAGAAGAAGGGTTTTGGAGTCCCTTTTTGCTAAAAGTCCTTTGGACTATGAGAACAACAATGCAAAAATGGATTGGAGTTCACTTGCGAAGGAGCTTTCGCTTTGTGGTTTATTCTCCTTTCGTTGTGAACATAATCTGAATTTTGGGGTTGCCAAAATTGTTTCCTTTCATTGAGATTTCTTCTATACCTGTCATTCCTTTGTCATTCCTTTGTCGTTTTTGTTTCCTTTCATTGAGATTTCACACCCCCAAACAGAATTGGCGTAAACATTCGGGGGTAGAGGATGTCATGTATAGTATTATAACAATGCATAAGAATAAAACAAGCAACAACATCCATTGCATTAATAGAATATTTAAATACATTTGTGCTCCTTGGTAAAGTTTAAATGACACCAAAAATGTATAATCAAAATAACGACGAGTCTTGAATCCAATCCATCCTTCAAAAGCTACGCGGGTGTACCTGTCTAATGGTTCCCTGAGAATACAAGTTATTTTGAAAGAGAGTATCAACATAAATGATGGTGAGTTCATAAGTGTTTAGTGTCA